AGAGAGAGAGAGAGAGAGACAGAGAGAGAGAGAGAGAGAGAGAGAGAGGGAGAGAGGGAGGAGAGGGAGAGGGAGAGGTGAGGGTGCAAATTGCAGTTCTTTTTATGGTATAGATGGATGTCTTCTTTAACTTTACCTAAAGTCAATTATGCTTATGCTGCATTCTGTTGTCATTATATAGTACATTGCGGAATACATTTCCAATCTGTGGAACTCAGGACTATGTGGCAAGTACAGATTCTTTAAATAATTTTTGAGCACAATTGTTCTATGGTACTCATTTTGGGAGTAGTTTTGCAAGCATTTTCCCCAATATAATGTGTTTTTCACACTAGCAATAGCCATAGAACTTAGACTTATATACCACTTGACAGTGCTTTACAGTATTCTCCGAGGGGTTTACAGAGTCAGCATATTGCCCCTAACAATCTGGGTGCTCATTTTATTAACCTCGAAAGGATGGAAGGCTGAGTCAACCTTGAACCGTTCAGAACAGAACTCCAGTCTATGGGCAGAGTCAGCCAGCAATACTGCATTCTAACCACTGTACCATCCTCTATCTCTATATTCAGAATATGCACTGTTCCCATCATATTGTGCCCTGTGTAGATACCTTGTTCAGCACAAAAGACAACACAATATATAAAAAAGAATTTTTAAAAAATGCATTTTGGGCATTATTAAGTGTCCAGATTGCAGAAATTTTTAAAGATAAAAAAAAATGATCCTCAATACCACCCAGTAATGAAATTATAAAAAAAATACAATTACTTTGTAATGGACATCATATGTTCTTGCTAGTTTGAAGAGGAAATATGATTAATTTATAGATAAAACAGCACTGGGGGAAGAAAAATAAATAATGACAAAAATATGACTGTACCTTGATCCCTACCTGCGTAAAGAAGGGCTCATAAATTTCAACACCTTTGTCGGATCCTTGTAATAGAACCTCTTGCCCTCGCCTCCAACTGTACCGAACAGGTGGGTTGGAATTGGCTACACACCTAAGGAACACGGTTCTCTCGTAGTAAAACTGTTCTTTTGCTTCCCCTATGCTCTGGTGGACTGTCACAATTGGGTCATCCAAATCTGGGAACACAAAGAAAGAAGAAAGCAAAAGATTAAAACAGGACAAAAAAACCCCAAAAACCCTTGAGTATGTCCCTATGTGTGTGTGTGTGCATGTGTGTGTGTGTGCGTGTGTTAAAAAGATAGTAATAAGGAAACAATGAAACTGACTGCTTTGTTCATTCAGGCAGGGAAGTTTGAGTACTTAGGCATAAGAAGTCTGGCTTTGAATCCCTGTATTTCCAAACTTGATGATAACAATTGTATTGCTGAGAAAGAGATGGTCTTCTCTATTCAGAGGATTAGCCCAAATTCACATGAATTTGGCATGAAAAGATGGCTGAGAATATTATTTTTAATTTGCTTTGGTTTTCTGCTTTGTTAAGAACTAATCAATATTCATGGATTTCTTTATAAATAGAATCATGATGAAGACGTAAGGTGAGTTCCAACCAACTTTAAATATGTCTTCATTTCTTAAAAAAAAAAAAAAAGCTATTTTGCTGGGAGCCCCCCTTCAAATGTCAAGGATTGAGATTTTACAAGATACTCTTCAAAGCTTGTTTTCAATTGATTCATTGCTCTAGTGAAGTCTTGTCTGACTTGGTTGCCTTGGTTTTGGACAACAAATAGTGTAATTTACAATAAACATGGTACCCCTTAGCCCTTATAGGAATTATCACACATATTGGGGATAACAATTTAGGAGAAGGCTGAATTGCTACCCTTCAATTTGAATCATATTAACATCCCAAATTCAATGTATCAATGATAGATTTTAATATATTAGTTATTTTTTATCCAGTGTGGTTGAAAATAAGCATATTTAATTGTGTCATTTAAAATGGTTTCCTCCCAGTTATTAGCTTGTTTAATATTTGACTTTTTA